TGCACTGCTCATTGAGACTACTGCACATATATCCTGCTTTGTCATGAGGATCTACATTAAACATTTCATACAAGTGTCCTACTCTCTGGATTTCCTGGGCAATATATTTAATAAAAATAACTCTAGAAGCATCAGCAGCTTCATTAAATTGATACCAGCAACATTACAGCATTAATAGTAATAATAAAATATATATTTAAATTTTTTTTCATGGATGAGTTCCAAGCAAAAGATTGACTTGCTTTTCCAATCTTCTCAATTTCAACAAAAGGGCTAGAAAAAACTTCCATCCTGGTCCATCCTACTCCACTGAGTTGGTTATGAAATACGGAAAACATAGACTATTATTAAGCAAAAAACTGAAATTACTGACCTGTAGCATTTTTAAATGAAAGTGATATAGTGTATTATATAGTATATGCTCAACTAAGTGTTTCTAGGAGACAGTGGGTGGACCCAGTTTACTCCTGTGGATTTGATCTCCTTGTGCTTGTAGGTCCATGGATGGCAAGTTGTGAATCTTGCGAGTATTACTGGGTTAGAGGTCGATATTATGATATTTATCCCTGCCAAGGATGGCTGATTAAAAAATCTGGATTCCCCAAACATCACCTGAGAATAAATGATAGAGATATCTAGGAGGTGTAGAGTCTGTTTTAAGGGTTATTTTTCATAGATTGAGGCACCTGAGTTCTTCCCCTATGTGTTTGTGGCTATCCATCCAAGTATGTGAAAATAGAGATGAGCTCTGCTAACAGAGTACTTGTTAGTTTACATGTCTCCAAAGCACCTTTTGGAAAAAAATATTTTATGGTTTTGACATAGTAGATTTTAGAGAGAAGCTTTTACTGGTGGCAGTAGATTGAAAAATAGAAAAGTATTAGGAGTTTAAAAGGATAATAATAATTTTTATATTGATGTTTTAATTACTTAGTTTCCTGTTTCCATTTTTCTTGTTCTCTTCCCTCTTCTGTTCTGTTCTGTTCTCATATTCATTCCCTGTGCCAGTGGGAATAGCCTTAATCTTTCAGGAAATTTTTAGTACACGGAGAGGACCTGACATCAAAAACTGTTCACTGAGGCTTGAGATTTAGCTTAATGATTCCAGCTACTGGGAAAGATCAAAGGGGTCTGGCACTTGGACTGTGTAGGCTTGCAGAGGAACACAAGAGTGATGGTGCTGTGTATGTTTCAAAGGGCAGAGGTTCCCCATAACAAAGTGCTAGGTGTAAAAATTCTTTATTGTTGGCAAGTAGAAAAATCCTGGCTTGTTTTCAAGTGGAGTAGTGTATGGAGTTGTGATCATTTAAAAAAAAAGTTGTGACGTAATTTTCAAACTCCTCTAATGTTTTAGAATAGGTGGTAAAATACTTCGTATTCTGCACTGTTAGAATACATTGTCTCAGTTACTGTCGATCAGACACATTATCTAAAAACATTATGGTGTTTTTAGATCAGAATTTGTTTCTAGTGAATAATGAGAACTGGCACTGTTCTTGGTACAGTTCTGAGTGGATAGAGCTGAAAAGACAGAGGAAGGTTAAATGAAGCCAGGTAGCTGGAAGGAGCAGAATGTAGTTATTGTGCTTGAGGTATTTCAGTTGGTCTGTTGAGAAGATGGAAGTCTGGGGGTTTGCTGACCTGGCAAGACACTTCTTTGAAACAATTGTTTGTTGCTGATTTTTGAAAGGAGGGTAGAAAGCAATGCATAAATATGGGAGTACACAATCCAGTGAAACACAAAGCAGCTCTTGTAACCAAAGGAAATACAACTCTATGTGTACATATAGACAGGGTTCAAGTTATCTGGAGTCTCTTTCGTCCTTTTCTGTCTAGAAAAAAAAGATATTTAAACCACAGCAATGCTAAAAATACATAGAGTTCATTTCATCTAATATATAATTATTTCTATCAGTTGCTACAACTTGTAATTTCATCTGAATGAAGTCTTTTGGAAAAAAAGAATCAGAAATTAGTCAGTGGTTTTTGGATTTAGATCCAGAATCTGTATCATTCTCTGACCTTGAAAGATAAATATGTGGCTGTACACCTGAAGGGTTCAGGCCTGTTGATCCACAAGGTTAATATTAATTTAAAATCATATGGTAGAATCTATTACTTCAATATATTTCTCAATAATTTCTTTTCAAATTGTAGTTTGTCTTCTGTGTTCGTTATAAAGTCAAGGAAGATAATTTCCTAATCCAGGGACTGAAGGATGTATGGAGAGTGCTCGAGGAATGCGTCACAGTTATATAATAATGGAAGCTCTTGTCCTCATATAACTGCAGTGTTGGAAAGTGGATAGTGAATGAGACAGAATTCTAGGAGGCAAAAAGGTTAATTTATAAAGGAGATATTTTGAATTGTAAGCTTATATCATATCCTGTAGTGTTTCTGTAAAATGCTGAGAAATTAATTTTAAATGCAGGTTTTCAACACATCTGATAATGGACAATGTGTTTTATTTGATGGTGGAAAACTAAAAATTGATTGTAAGATTTTCAAACGTACCAAGGGCTTGCAGCTGCAATTGAAGCCACCATATATATACTATAATGTAAATATGCTAGATCTTGTTAAAAAAGTATGTACCAAAAATTTCAAACTACACACTTAGGATCTTACACTAATTTGATCTCAGTTCTACATGTGAAAAATTATTGACCATGGTCGCCATCCAAAGAAAAGATGTTGATTGTAATCTGATTATGTGAAGGGCTCAGATTTCCTTTTTTTTACTTCAATAGAACAATTCACAATGAAATAATAACTTAAAAGAGTCGAGTTCAAATGTTTGGAAATCATGTATGGAAAGGAATGTATAGATTAGTGATATATTCTGTTTTAAATGTCCAGTTGTCAGGAAGGTCACATTTCAGTGTCTACTTCTGTGTAGGCAACTTAGGAGCTCTGAATTATTATCTAGGAGTTTTCTCCTCACAGCTCACCACAGAGCTTTACGACTCATAATGTTGGGGATCTAAGTATGGACACGCTTTGATTTCCCATCCCTCCCTTTTCTCCTGCTTTGAATTTTCTACATTGAAAAATAAGTGTGGACTATCTTGATTAAAGATAATAATATGATTAAGATGCATGGTAGAGTGGAATTGCAATGGCATGTGACATTTTTATTTTTACTTTTTTTTTTCTTTTTTGTTTGTTTTGACTTGCTTGATTTTGTGGGCCTTGTTTATTTATTTATTTATTTGTACTGGAATGTTGCTTTGTATATATATTTCTAAAGTGCAGAAGAGGCAAAACCATTAGAATACATTTTACTGTGTGGCACATTCAGTTTTCCCTTTCGGTACTCAGTTTTGGAAAGATATTAGTGTTTCTCATTATCCACTTATTTAAATCTTACGTAGTCACTGAATCCTGTTTATGGAGTTATTTCCTGTGATATTATATGGTGGATGAGATATGGAGGTATTTTGATGAGCTTTATTTTTCTGTGCAACACCAAGCATCCACTTAAAATTATGAGCCTGTGCTTCCTGTTTAGTTAGGTGAGAGTATTCTCTGCAGAGAGACATTCAGAATATCTGTATAGGAACCTTTTTGGGTTTTGGAGCCTATAGGGAAAGTAGACCCTAACTTGATATTTAAGACCAATACCTGCAATTAGAGAATGTAAATATTCCTGTGGGTAAATGTCTCTATTCTTGGGTTTTGTCATGGTTTAACCCCAGTCAGTAAGCGACGCCCAGGCAGTTGCTCACTCATTCCCTCAGTATCAGTAGGATCAGGGAGAGAATTAGAAGGGTAAAAGATAGAAAACTTGTGGGTTGAAATAAAGACAGTTTAATAGGAAAGTAGAAGCTACTCACACAAGCAAAGCAAAACATGGAAGTAATTCAGTGCTTCCCATGGGCAGGGAGGTGTTCAGCCACCTCCAGGAGAGCAGGGCCCCATCAGGGGTAACAGTTACCTGGGAAGGTGAACTCCATCACTCCACATGTCCCCACACCCCATCTTCCTCCTACTTCTCCCAACTTTACCTACTGAGCATGATGCTACATGGTCTGGACTATCCCTTTGGTCAGTTTGGGTCACCTGTCCTGGCTCTGTCTCCTCCCAACCTCCCATGCCCTCCCATCTTCCTCACCAGAGTGGCAGTACGAGAAGCAGAAAAGGCCTTGGCTCTGTGTAAGCCCTGCTCAGCAATAGCAGAAACATCTCAATATTATCAACCCTGTGTTCAGCACAAAGTCAAACCACAGCCTCATACCAGCCACTGTGAAGAAAATTAACTGTACTCCAACTGAAACCAGCACAGCTTTGGTATAGAGTATCAGCTTGCTCATTTAAGTTAAAACATGCATTTTAGATGGAATATTTTGCTTAAGACAGTGGACAATTATTAATCAGTACTAAACAGACCTACTGTATGTTATCCAGTTATTTCTTTATTTCTTTAAGCAAATCATATAAAGTTCACTTATGAGTAAAATTCCTCAGCTTTCCTTCCTTAGTTTTTAGTTATGTTGTCTTCAGGTCCTGACATCACTGTAGTTTAATAAATACAATGCAGATTTTCCTTTAATCTATTATTTTAGTATATTGCATTTTAAATAGCATATTACATGTTATAAATTTGCCTTGAACTATGACAGGCAATTTGGTTGTGAATAAAAAAGAAAGAGATTGTAGTTCACATAATCAAAGCACCTTCCTTTCTATTTGTAGCTGAATGTATTGCTGGAAATGTGTTAATGTGGTATTATGTACAAAAAATTGGAAGTCAGGTAAAGAACATTACTGATGTAATTTTTAGTTACATATTAATTTTTCTATACTTGGCGCTCCCCATTTTTAAAATTAAATGGAAATAAGCCCATAGTACAACTTAATATAAGCATACAACAAATATTAAAGCAAATCCTTTTAACTCAAAATAGGAACTTTTCCCTTCCCATCTGATACAGATTTTAGTACTTCAGGGTAGCTGTTTTCAACATGTTGCACTCAGTTGTGCAAACTTATCTTTTTAGGGTCAAAGAAGAGCAAAAACCACAGCCGACACAGTAAGTAAAGTATCTTCAAGATGCACTAGGCTTGACTTTTCTACCTTTGCCATGTTCTGCTCTCTGCACCTTTGATGGTATTAGCTTTCACTGATACCTGATAGGCTGCAGGTAGTTTGTCATCTGCTTCCTGACTGGCTTGTAAGAGAGCTGCCTGTAGCTTCTTACCCCATCCACATGTTAGCTGGATGTAGGTTCTTGCTCCCTGCTTGTGAACTGGTGACTTGTAGAACTTTACTTCCCTTTCACCCTTAGTGGCTGACTTAGTTCTTTAGTTCTGCAGCTCACATTCCCATTGGCTCTAGCTTTTCCGCCTGTCTATTTCTACTAACTTTGGATAAGAAAACATTTAAACTAGTGTGGTTTTATTGGTTATTCAGTCACATTATTTGCTTGTTTAAACAGGTGGTTTCCCTTTAGTGGGATCACTGAGCTGGTAAATAACGTTCTTCAACCACAGCAAAAACAGCAAAATGAAAAGGAGCCCCAGACGTAAGTAAGCTGCTCTCTGTAGATTAAGTAACATCTGTATAGCATTAGAACATCCTGGAGAGTATGTTATAATAATTGCCCCTTTAGAACAAGCAGGTGAGGGCATTTTACAAGCTGAGCACGATTTGCTTTCCAACCCCTCATTTGCAAAGGGAAAACTGAAAATCAGGTCTTACTCTCCTTATCAGTAACTTAAATGATTGCATTAGATTGCAATTTAAGGAGTTACTACTAGTCTATCTGTTTTTTTTTTTTTTTTTTTTTTTTTTTTTTTTTCTTTGACAAATGTTCCTTATAATCAAACTTCTGGTGAAGTGTTTTCTGTGCATGAGGAGCTGGAATGATAAGACATGTAGCATTATTTATAGCATGTCTATGCACATGCGTGGTCTGAGTCATGCATAGAATGCTATATGAATCTACATAATATGTCAGAAGAGCTTTCTAAGGACCAGGAAAATATCATGTCATTTTTTTCATGCTTTTAGAATATCTGTCAAGTTTCAAAACTTCAGCAGATATAAGGTGAAATCTTGGGTCAATCAAAGCTCAGGAAGTTTTGACTTTGATGGAGCCAGTATTTCATCTATGAAACTTTTATATGATTTTTTTTTTTTTTTGCTATCTGAAAATCTCAAGTTTTAACAAAAACTGGCAAAGCTAGGACACTGAGTCTTAGAGTAGAACTTAAAACATGGAGAGGAAAATATTCCTTTAATAAAGAGAAACTAAAAATATTTATTATAAATTTTCAAATTGCTAAAATGTATTTTGGATGTTATTTAAGCTTTAAACAGTTAAGTTGCTCTCTCTTCTTTCTTCTAGAGGTTTATGCCTTGTAGGTTCATGTGATGAAAGAAATGTTTGCTTTTGAACTCATGCATAACTGGCTTAAGGCATGCATATAACTTGCTAATTACTTTCCAGGCAGAATCAATTTTTGTTTATTTTTTAGTATATGTATTAAAGTGGACCTTCATACTTGTGGGTCATGAAAGCTGTGATGTTTTTTGAGAATACATGGTGAAAAAATTTCACTAATTAAAATGGAAAAATAGGACATAAAATTGATATTCTGTAAAGCAATGTGTTATTCTAAGCTCTCTTTCTGATATTCTCACTTAACTGCTTATAAAATTGTGTACATATTAATAGTGATTTTTTTTTTGTTATTATTAGATACTGGAAATATTACATTTTGCTTATAACACCTCAGTACTTAGTATTCCCAGTTTCCTTAACAGCAAAAATTGTTCTGCTCACTAGTGTTGTACATATGAAGCATATGGCTTTCAAGAAACTTAAAATTTTATATGGGCAGTGTAAACAGATGAGTAACAGTTAACAAAAAATATTAATAAATGATTACTGTTATTATGGAAGGATCTTTTCAAATGGTCACCTCTTTGGGAACCAGTTTTGTTCAGTGTTTTTATTATACAACTAAGAAATTAATTAATTAGTATACTCACTGAATTTTTAGATACACTTCTCCCAGTCTTGTGTTAACACCTTATGGCAAGATTATATTAAAAAATTATCCTGAAAACCCCAAGCTGTGGTTATGATGTTATTCAAAAGGAAAAATGCAAAGGGATGTTCTGTAGGGGTAGTTAATGTGGTTGACATAGGACACATGAAAATTGTAGGGAAATGTTCTTTGGCAGAGAATCAGGGAGCCCTAGTAGTATGTAAGCTGAGCTGTAGCCAGTATCCTGAAAGAGATTAATGTCACACAGGAATGTACAGACACTAGCCAGGAAGCACTGTGAAGAAATTTTCCCACTGCTAGGCTTTGGTAAGGAATAGCACACCCTTCAAAAATTATGTGCAGCAGTTGTAATTCAGTGGAGAGTAATAGGAATGAATAATTAGGTGTGTAAAAACCATGGTATATGTTAGGAAAGAATCAAACACATGAGTTAATTTAGCCTCCTAAAAAGAAAATCCCAGGGAACGAAGGAGATGGACAAGTGAAAGGAAATGATCACTTTTCCATGTTCATCTCATGGTGAAGCTGAAAGGAGTAAACTTAAGTTGCATAAGGGAGGACTGAACTTGGTAGGGCGAACTTTTTAATGGAAAGAAAACTTAAAATGCTTGCATACTTTGTTCAGGGCTTGTTTGGAAGCTGGGAAAATCTTAAGGAGCAGGTTTGTCTCCTGTTAGAGGAGACACAAGTGTAGCTGGTCCTGTGCTGGAACAAGAGAATGGACTAAATGACTTTTAAAAGTGTTTTCCAGCACTGCTTATTTGTGATAATTTCATTAATGTGTTAATTATCAGGATTTGTTTTTGTGATTATTGTAAACATTCAGGGAGAAAAATTGAACAGAAATACTAATGGTGCAGCTTTTAAATTTTATTTATTTTTCTGACATTAATGGCTTGCAAAAAAGTGTTGTACCGGGGAGCACTGTGGATCACTGGGGAGGAGAATAAATGTCTGTAGAAATTTTTACTACTATTCATACGTATTGGGGTATTTTCCACATGAAATCACTGTCAGTATCTGAGACTTTGAGATATACTGACTGTCCACCTTTGCTGATGAAAAAGCTTATTTACTCCCCCCAGCGAATCTGGAGAGGACAAAATGTAATGAGTAATAGCAGAATAGGAGTTAGTAGTGTCTGAAAACAAGGTATCATGTTACAGATTTCACTTTTGCTCTGGAAAAGGTATTTTTGTAGAACCATTGACCATGTGTGCTTATGGGCAGAGGTAGGATTAGTCTGATGCTCTTGGACATGAGTTCTGTACCACAAAATCACAGAAAGGTTGGGCAAGATGATCTCCAGAAGTCTCTTCCAACCTCAACCATTCTTCTCATGCTGGATCACCTAGGGTCATTGTTTAAAACTATGTGTAGCTGGATTTTGGCTGTATCTAGGGATGCAGACTCTAGAAAATCTCTGGGTAAGAGATACATGTTCTAGTCCTTGGTCACCCCTAGAATGAAAAGTGTTTCTCTCTGCTCAAAGGGAACTTCCTGTGCTTCAGTTTGTGCCTATTGCCTCTGATCCTGTGACTGGACACTGCTGAAGAGAGCCTGGATCCATTCTCTTTCCTTCAGGTATTTGTATTTATTGATAAGATCTCCTCCCTGAACTTTTTCTACTCCAGGCTAAAAAGTTCAAACTCTCTGACTGTCCTCATGTGAGAGAAGCTTCAGTCCCTTTTTGGCCTTTTTCTGGACTGTCTCCAGTATGTCCATGTTTCTCTTTAACTGGGGAGGCTGGAACTGGGCACAGAACTCCAGGTGTGTCTTTGCCAGTGGTGAATGAAGGGTAGGATCACCTCCTTCTGCCTCATGGTAATGCTTTTGCCTAATACAGCCCATTCACTTCCCTTTGCTCAAGGCATGCTGCCCATGCTCAGCCTGGTGTGCACCAGGACTTCCAAGTCCTTTTCTGCAGAGCTGCTCTCCAGCTGGGCAGTTCCCAGTGCACCGCTGCGTGTGCTTCCTCCCCAGGCGCAGGACTTTGCATTTTGCTTTGTTGAACATGGTGAGATCCTGGTCAGCCTGTTTCTCCAGCCTGTTAAGGTCCCTCTGGATGGCACCATGACCTTCTGGTGTATCAGCCACTCCTCCCAGTTTGCTGTCATCCACAAATTGGCTGAAGGTACCTGCTGCCCCATCATCTACATCAGTAAGTCATTGAACAGGACTGGACTCAATAATGACCCCTGGGATAGACCTCTGGGAACTGGCCTCCAACTGGACTTTGTGCCACTGACCTCCCTGCCCTAGGCCCAGCCATTCAGCCAGGCCTCAGTCTACTTCAAAGTCTGCTCACCCAGTCTGTACTTCATCAGCTGCTCTGTGAGAATGTTATGGGATACAATGGGAAAAGCCTTATTGCAGATAAGATGGACAATACTCACTGCTCTCCCCTTATTTTGATCATTTCATTGTAGAAGGTCATTACATTGGTGGAGTATGACTTCCCCTTGGTTAATGCCTGCTGACTCCTGATCACTGCTTTGTATTTCATGTTCCTAGAAATAGTTCCCAGGATTAGTTGTGCCATCACCTTCCCAGGAATTGAGATGAATCTGACCAGTCTGTGGTTCTGCAGATCCTTATGCTTCTTCAAGATGGAAGTGACATTTTCCTTCCCACAGATGTTAGGCACCTCTCCCAGTTTCTGTGATCACTCTAAAACTGAGAGTGGTCTTGCATATCTTGGCTTGATGAAGAATACTTCTTCCTCCAGCACATGCATTCTTCATCATGAGTTTTATCAGCAGTGTTTGAGATATTTCCATATTTTAATCCTTAAAGCATAAAAATACTTAGCTGCCCCCTGAAGCAACTGTTTTTGATGTTTAACAATCAGCCTACCAATTTTTATTTATTCAGATTTATAAGGTATATATTTTGCAAAAGGTGTGTTCAGGTTGTTCCTCATTAGGATTTGGTGGTCTTGTGCCTAAGGGTTTGACTTGGGGTTTATGTCTTTCTTCTGCATGAATCTTGGAATGTTGTGTAATCTCCAATCACAATAAAGGAATTCCCATGCTAGAAGGCACTGAAGATTCCACTATTGTAATATTGTATATTGGCAGCGTTCAGCCATGAGTACCTGAGAACACACATAAGGAGAAGGGTATGCCTAGAGTGGTTCTGATATAGGGATTTTAGTGACTTCCTGAGGCAGTGGCTGCATGCATACTGCTGGATTTATTCCCTGGCAATAAGGAATCTGTTTGCCACAGTTATTTGCAGTCCCGTTTTACACCTACTTTTATTTTTGGTTTCAGAACTTGGTGAAAATGAATTCTTCATCTTAATTATCTGTATGGAGAAATTGTCACCCTTTTGTTGTAAAACTGTTTCCTGATATTTTCAGTGGGAAGTGCTAGTGTTGTGTTATGTAATTTATCTATAATATGTATAACCTTTAGGCATTTCTATTATGTTCCATGCAGTCTGTTATATTTCATACAGTTATGCCTTTAAGCTGCAGAGTCAGAGTTTTTCCTTCTATGATAGG